TGAATCCAAAATAGATGATTCTGTAATGGATGGGGAAATAAGTATCCCTGGTTTTAACTTGATAAGAAAGGACCGTAATAGGGCGGGAGGCGGTGTGGTGTTGTATATCAGAGACAACCTATCCTATTTGGATAGGAATGACTTGGTGCCCGATCGTCTTGAGATGCTGTGTGCTGAAATTACTCGCCCCTTTAGCAAGTCGCTTTTTGTCTGCACATGGTATAGGCCTCCGAAGTCAAACTTCAGCTTATTTAATGATTGTGATGTATTTTTTCAAAAATTGCGAGTCTGAAAATAAGGAATTGATTATAATTGGTGATATTAACTGCGATGTTATGAAAACCTCACCAGATGCCCATACACGACAATAAACTTTTTGTGTTCTCTTTATCAACTTGACCAATTAATTAATAAACCTACAAGAGAGACCAACACCTCGGCGACCTTGATTGATATGGTCTTAACTAATGCTAAAGAAAACATTTCGACTTCTGGTGTAATAGATCTGGGGATGTCTGACCATAGTTTGATTTATGTGGTCAGGAAGTTCACCCTTCCAAAACTTAAACCTCATGTGAAAGAAGTTAGGGATTATAAACATTTTAATGCTGAATATTTTATTGGGGATTTAGCCAGAATGCCTTGGCATGTAATTAATCAATATAATAATCCCAACGAATGCTGGAGGGTATGGAAATCTTTCTTTAATGATATATTAAATATACATGCGCCGATTCGACATAAGCGAGTAAAGGGGAACTCGGTCCCATGGATTACTCCGGAAATTAAATGTATGATGAGAAACAGAGACTATTATAAAAAATATGCAATAAAACATTCCTCACAGCCACATTGGGAAAGTTTTCAATTTCTGCGGAATAAACTGAATGTTGAAATGCGAAATGTAAAATCAAAATATTTTCATGATAAAATCACTGATTGCTCTGTAATGAATGACTCTAAAAAGACTTGGAAATTAATTAATTCATTATTGGGAAAGAATAACAAATCCAACAATGTGAATGAGCTGCTGGTTGACAGCACGTTAGTTTCGGATCCTAAATCTATTGCAGATGCATTTAATGACTATTTCATTAGTATTGGGTCGAGGCTAGCAGCAGAATATGTAGACGAGTCCTGTAGTAATGTTGATAATCAGCCCATAAACTATAATATTAATCAATCCTCAGATACTTTTTTTAAAGTATCTCCAATATCCGTTGATAGTGTTGCCTCGACCCTAAGAGGCCTAAAAGCAAGTAAAGCAACAGGTCTTGATAAAATTCCTGCTAAAATTCTAAAATTATCTGCAAACATAATTGCACCCTCGTTGACATTCATCTTCAATCTGTCGCTTGCAACAGGCGTATATATATGTAGATGAATGGAAGCGTGCTCGTGTTACGCCAATATTTAAATCCGGGGATAAAAGACAATGTGAGAACTATCGGCCTATTTCAATTTTACCGGTGGTGAGTAAAGCCTTTGAGAAGGAAGTTTTCCGTCAGGTATATAGATACTTGTCTGAAAGCTCTCTTCTGTCAAAGTTTCAATCTGGATTTCGTCCAAAGCATTCAACTGTAACTGCCCTCATCCAAATGTGTGATGAGTGGCTAGAAAATATGGACAATGGAAAGTTAAATGGGGTTGGGTTCATAGATATCAAAAAGGCATTTGACTCTAGCTATAAACCATCGCATTTTGTTAAATAAAATGAATGAGCAATTTGGAATTTTTGGCGTGGAATTAAAATGGTTTGAGTCATATTTAACAAATAGAGAACAGCAACGTAATGTTAATGGAGAATTATCTAGTAATAAAATTATCACCTGTGGAGTGCCCCAGGGATCTATACTGGTACCACTGCTATTCCTATTATATATTAATGATTTGCCCGATTGTTTGAAATCAACTAATCCATGCATGTACGCGGATGATACTCAAATCTTTTCATCTTCCTACGATGCAAATGAACTTGTTGTAAATTTAAATTCAGATCTTGCCCATGTCTGTAACTGGCTTAAAGAAAATAGGCTGCAGATGCATCCATCAAAATGTAAAATGTTTATTGGCTCCCCGTATAATCTTAATAATATAATGTGTGAGGAACCCGTTGTGGCTAATGCAAAACCCATATCACGAATTGCTACACAAATGTGCCTAGGAGTAAAACTAGATGAAACCCTTAATTGGGATAGTCACATTGAAATGATGTGCAAGAAGGCGAGCGCTGCTATTGGTGCTATGAAACGTATAAAGCCCTTTGTTCCAATGCATACCTTAGAATCGATTTATAAAAGTCTTGTGCAGCCCTACTTTGATTATTGTTCCCCCCTTTGGGACACTTGTGGTAAGTTGCTAAGAGACAAGTTGCAAAGATTTCAGTCTCGTGCAGCAAGAGTCCTAACGGGTGCTAATTATGATACTCGCTCAGCTGATCTTCTCAACATGCTTTCTTGGGATACACTTGAAAATAGGCGGTCTGGTGCCAAGTCAGTATTAATGTATAAAATACTTAACGACCACACTGCGCCAGGTCTCCGGGGGTCATTCGTGAGAAGAGAAATAAATCAAACTAATTATCATCTTCGAAATACAGCAACTGATCTAACAATTCCTAAACCGAAACGAGAATTTCTTAAAAAAAGTTTCAAATATAGCGGCGCTATGCTCTGGAATCAACTCCCAAACGAAGCAAAATTGGCCGAGTCGCCTCATTCGTTTAAATCAATTGTTGGACAGCGACATGCTTCCTAATTATTTGTATATAGTAACGTGCATGTACAGTATGTGTGTATTAATATTTAGTTTAAATTTTCCTTTTAACGATTTTTAAGATCTAAACACGCCCCCCATGGAAACCAGCCTAGTGTTGGGGCTAGCGTGTTCTTCTTTCTGTTAATTTTAAATAAAGTATTACCTACCTACCTACCTACCTACTCATTACTCGTCTAAGTATCGCGAAAATCACACGTAATAACACTTGCAAATACTCGATTCATACCTGGTTATTCTGAAGTACAATCTTAAAAGGTTTTTCCGATTCATTAAACCCTGGTTTAGTTATGAGAGATACAATAGTACTTCTGATTGTCAATGATTCAGTCGATTCTATGGTATTATCCACGGATTCCTTCAACTCTTCTTCAGATAAAATATCCTTGATTGAACTGTACTTCACTACAGTTGCTTCTTTTAACTCATTGGTCAGAGCATCAGGGATAACCACGCCCTCTCCAGCTGTGTCCAGCAAACTGGTACCTTTAGCTTGAAGTTCGGTGGGTTTTACTGTTGGTAGACGTATTCCAATGACGTCTATGTTGGGTGTTCTATATAAAGCAACTTTTCCTATTTCTGCACTTTGTGAGATGTAGTTCCTCGCATTCAGATCCGCGCCACTGATAACCTGCTTCGCCAAATTATTTCTAGACTGGAAAGCAAAGACAGTTTTTGGTTTAATCCTTTACTGAATAAAAAGTGGGCAATATATATTTCCCAAATTCATTAATTTAATAAAACACAACAGCGTCTGGTCGTGATACTACGAATTACAAATTTCCAAAAGTTAAGTCAACTTTCATGTTGAATTTCACTTTTTACAACTTGTGGCCAAAGTTGAGTGACGGAACGTCCTTTTTGGGGGCAAGGACCACAACCAAAGCAGGGGAAACAAGATCATGCATCGTGAGAGTAAAGTCCCTCACCGTCATGGACATTCAATAATTATCATGTCCGAGCTGGCTTCCCTTATCCGCCCTGCTTTCTTTATTTCTTCGATCTCAAACAGATAAAATTATTTACTTTCATATTTGGTAATAAAACATAATAATATACATGTAATTATGCAATTATTTCCTTTATTTAAGATTTATTTCTTCGTCAAGGGTTGGGTGAGTGAGTGAGTGGGTGGGGATTGTGTTGTCCGAAATGCAGTTGGCTTAGTAAAACGGGATTATAATGGCATTGATACTTGACATATTTTGACAAATGTTTCTATATAAAAGCGAAGCGGTTTTCTTGTTTATCGTTTCGCTTTAGGTCACGTAGTTTTACGTAGGGATATTGCAATTGTGTCATATTAATCATAATTTATTTTGAAATAAATTATTCCTATATCTTGAATAGCAACAACAAGCGCGTGACGAACAATTTCTGATTACAATATCTTTTATAAACGGGAAATATTAATATCCGTCTATTGCATTTCCAATTAGCATTTCTCACGTCCGATTTTCCGCCATTTTGGCTGCCTCTCCCACGTTTGAGAGTCTCCGAACCACGAAATGCGACTTTTTGTATTATAGTTGTTTGTATCATGGTAAATGCTGTTACAAACTTTTAACTTAAAAGTTGCTTTTTACGTTCCTTGATTTATAAAAAACCCAAAAATGGCGGATTTTGGCCTTTGTGAAAGGCAATAATTGGAATTTGCTTATTGGAGTGGACATCCGTTTATTACACTTTCTTATTAAAACGTATTGCGCAAAATCCAGACATCAAAATCGACCGAAGTAGAATGGAGATTTCGAAAATGTTAGATAAAAGAGTGGGTCGACTCAACTCTGGATATAGCCGGGGCGTGGTGTACCGCTGCGTTCTGCAGCATTAATTTAAAATACTTGCATGCCATCTTACCGGTATATTCATCCATACATTCTTTCTCTTCTGACTCACTATATTACTTGATGAGCGAATAAATTGCTGACGATCATTTTGTGTTTCCGTTCTCTGCTTTGTATTCTCTAAAACCTCTTGAACAATGTCTTGAATATCTTTTACATAAAGTTTATCGTCTTCTAAAACTTGTTCTGTTTCGTCCAAAATGTCACTAATATTCTCCGATTCAAAACCCTCGACCAGTCTGGACACCTTTAAAGTGGATTTCAGTCAAATTTTTTATATGCTACAGTCATGCTGGGGTATTGTTATAGTTATGGAAGTGAGCAAATGATACAAAATTTTTCCATCTCCCAACGCAAAGTCAATTCAGTGGACAATTTTGTGACTCCGACAACTGTCTCATATCAATGTGCTGCACAGTCCAATTTAATAAACCCAGCTACAGTATGGGATTGCCCATTTTTTGATCCTACACACTTCTAACTACAATTGGGGTAATGTAGGTATGTTTGGCATCGCTTTGTTTAGAGATAATTGTGATGCTCCGGCACAGACAATACTCTACAATAATCCTCGTCTGAATGACATGAAAAAGATATCTCAAACGTATAGGTCTCCAGATTAGGTATAGCATTTTGCATTACGATGCCGCGGCTTATTATGAACTACCTGAAAAAGATCAAATTGTAGTTGATGTTCTTCAGGGAGTTTAGACACAAACTACGATTAGTGTACATGCTTAACTGATGATACTGTTAGATCATACTTCGACAATCACCTTATCAACAAGATCGATAACAGCAGAACTTCTACAGTTGAAAAAACTCACATCACTCCAAACAGGAGGACCATCATTACTGTTACAAAATCGTGTAACAGTTCCTATAAGTGAAATTGTAGAGAATGTTTAGCTCAATTCTGAACAATTAATCATTCCTGCAATGTGCAGTTTTTCTGGTCGATCGTCAGATTTCGGCTTACTCACATGTAAGAAAAATGCGCATATACAGTAATTTGGATTTACCAAACATTGCAAACGGTTTCTCCGGGCATTCCAGTTTTACAAAAACAGTTTAGAACTAACAAAACATATAAAAAAAATAAAGTTAGCTTAATGTAAATATTCTGGATATTGATACACCATGCAGATCACGCATATTTTATGAAATGTTAATATTCGCTAACGTTCCGGTGTACACAGTGCAACATCTTGAGAACGTTGAAGTGAAAATTGCCGACTGTATGTGGTTAAATATTATTTACAATACTTATTTACATAATTACATGACATACTATATAATATTTCAACTAGGCCTACGTTAGCCTGCGTAGCAGGCGTCTAGTGCGGGCGGGAGAAAAAGGGCGTCGTTAAATAAACGCCTGCCCAAATGCCTATGATTAATTTGTTCTTCTCTGAAGAATCTTCGGAAAAGCTTCCCATTGGTTAATCTCGTTAACGGAAGTAATTACGTAACTCAATTACTCAAATGTCAACAATAATTTTGCTCGCGTTGACGGCTTGACGCGTTTTATATACTCGCGTATCAAAAATATGCCACCTGGCACCTGTTAATGCTTTCGAGGAAACTTTCTTATATTTCAAGTATTTAGGCTTCGAAATTCAGTTGAACCAGAACAGAGAAAGTATATTATTAATATGCTACGTGGTGAAGACGCCGGTTATCGCGATTCTTCCTAAGGAATACGGAAAAGTTTGATCTTTCAATTATACATTTTAAATATATCCTGAATATTTCTTTAATATAGTTGTCTTGTTATTTGTTCACTTTAAAGTATAATTCAAGACCAGATTGTTGAGGCTATATCACTTGGCATTGCAGCTATGAGGTTGAATGATGATTTTAAGAATAACATTTCAAAACATGCTCAACTGTTATATTTGCTATACGGCAGAATACGTTAAACAACCGTGGTTCAGGAGTCTTTTAAAAGATAAAAGCTCTGTGCACGTTGTGACTGACTGTTGTCTAAAATAGCTTCAAAAACTCATTAATAATTCATAAGGAAAACACAAAGAAAAATCTTAAACATGTCGTATCCTTGATATGTGATAGAGATTTCCCTTGATTTAAATA